CTGGGACTACAGGCATGCGCCACCAAGCCCGGCTAATTTTTTTCTATATATTTTTAGCTGTCCAATTAATTTCTTTCTTTCTATTTTTGGTAGAGACGGGGTCTCGCTCTTCCTCAGGCTGGTTTTGAACTCCTGAGCTCAAACAATCCACCCGCCTCGGCCTCCCAGAGTGCTAGGATTACAGGCGTGAGCCACCGCACCCGGCCCTTACCTGCCCTTTAAACGAAAGCACAAAGCATAAAGAGAAAAAACCTGATAAACTGAACTTCTTAAAAATTAGAAGGAACTGTTCATCAAGACACTGTTAAGAAAATTAAAAGGCAATCCATAGACTAGGAGAATATATTTGCAATACATATATCAAGCAAAGGACTTGAAAATACAAAAGGATCTTGAAAATACAAAGAACACTTAAAATCTGATACAACAAATGACCCATTTTTTAAGGGCAAAAGATTTGGACACTTCACAAAAGAAGATACACAAACATAGCCAATAAAATAAGCTCATGAAAAGATGCTCAACATCATTCAAAATTAGGAAAATGGAAATTAAAAGCACAATGAGCTACCATTACACACATATTCATGAGAATGATAAAGTTTAAAAGGATAATATCGAGTTAAAGAGGATGTGGAGGCCGGGTGCGGTGGCTCACGCCTGTAATCCTAGCTCTCTGGGAGGCCGAGGCGGGCGGATTGTTTGAGCTCAGGAGTTCAAAACCAGCCTGAGCAAGAGGGAGACCCCCGTCTCTACTAAAATTAGAAAGAAATTAATTGGACAACTAAAAATATATAGAAAAAATTAGCCGGGCATGGTGGCGCATGCCTGTAGTCCCAGCTACTCGGGAGGCTGAGGCAGGAGGATCGCTTGAGCCCAGGAGTTTGAGGTTGCTGTGAGCTAGGATGACGCCACAGCACTCTACCCCGGGCAACACAGTGAGATTCTGTCTCAAAAAAAAAAAAAAAAAAAAAGAGGATGTGGAACCGGGAATATAAAATGATACAACTATTTGGGGAATAGTTTGGCACTTCCTTATAAACACATACTTTAACTCATTTCTATCTCTAGGTATTAATCCAAGAGAAATAAAAACATGTTCATACAAAGACTTGTATACACGAAATGTTCACAGCTGTTCTACTTATAATAGCCAAAAACTGAAAAGAACTGAAATGTCCACCAACAGGTATACGTATAGAAAAAATGGGGAGTCTCTCGGAACCTATTCTAGTTCAGGGGGCTGCCCACCCAATAAAAAAAATGCTGGGGGTGATGGCTCATACCTGTAATCTTAGCACTTTAGGAGGCTGAGGTGGGAGGATCACTTGAGGCCAAGAGTTTGAGACCAGCCTGGACAACATGGCAAGACCCATCTCTACCAAAAATAAGAAAAATTAGTCAGGTGTGGTGGCACACACCTGTAGTTCCAGCTATTTGAGAGGATCCCTTGAGCCCAGGAGTTCAAGGCTGCAGTGAACCATGATCTGGCCACTGCATTCCAGCCTGAGCAACAGAGCAAAACTGTTTCCCTAAAAATAAATAAATAAATTTCTGTTTTAAACAATGGTGGTACAGATATACAAAGGAATACCAAACTACTTAGCAAATAAAAGGGAATGAATTACTGATACATACAACAACCTGAATCTCCAAAACATTGCCTGGCAAAAGAAGTGAGACACAAAAGTGTTCATTACATATGATTCCATTGATGTGAAATTCTAAAAGAGGGATATTTAATCTACAGTAGTAGAAAGCAGATCAATGGTTGTCTGGGGCTAGGTGGGGGGCCAACTGACCACAGAGGGGAATGAGGGAACTTTTTCAGGTGACAGAAATGTTCTATGTTCTGGATTATGGTTTTAATCATAAAGTACCAAACTGTACACTTAAAATAGGTGCATTTTACTATATGTAAATTATACCTCAATAGAGTTTGATGTAAAAAATAAAAGTACACAATCCAAAAGTTCTACCCCAGCCTCTACACCCTGCAAGGCCTGGCCCTGCTTGCCCTGTTCTCTCTCAGCACAGCCACACTGACCTGTTTTCTGACCTCAGGAGCCTGGCCAACATGTCCTATGGGGAGCTTGGCTCCAGAGCCAGACTCTAAAATTGAAACAGCAGTGAGCTGCAGGGCCTTGGTAAAGTTTCTTGACTTCCTTTGCCTTAGTTTCCTCGTCTGTAAATGCAATGCTAACAGTACCTTCTTCATAAGGTTCTTGTGAGGATTGAATGAGTAATACACATAGCATTTTTGGTGTCTAGCATAGGGGTTAGCACACTTCAGCCTGCAGTCTGCTTTTATATGGCACATAACCTGAGAATGGCTTTTACATTTTTAAATGATTGGGAAAAAATTAAAAGAACAGTACTTTCTGACACATTTTAGTGTTCACAAATAAAAGTTTTGTTGAAACACAGCTCCTTCACTTACATATTGTCTGTGGCTGCTTTTTACAAAATGGCAGGGTTGAAGAGTTTTGAAAGAAACCACATGGACAGGAAAATCTAAAATATTTACTATCTAGCCCTTCAATGAAAAAGTTTTCTAATCCCTAGTCTATCACATTTATTTGGTACTATCATCTCCATCATCACCTCTACCTTGCATTTACTGTTCCTTTTGTCTGTAAAGTTGTTCCACCAGCTCACCAGATCTAGGATAGGGCTTGCTCCTTCTTGTAACTCGGATCACATCTTAAATGTGACCTCCTCAGAGGTCCTCTGTGTTTACCTTGTCACTCTCTCATCTCATCACCCTGCTGTTTTAATTTTTTTTTCTTTTTGAGACAGGGTCACCCAGACTGGAATGCAGTGGTGTCATCATAGCTCACAGCAACCTCAAACTCCTGGGCTCAAAAATCCTCCTGCCTCAGCCTCCCAAGTGGCTGGGACTACAGGCACATATCGCCAAGCCTGGTTAATTTTTTTTGTTTTTTTGTAGAGTTGAGGTCTCGATACTGCCCAGGCTGGTCTCAAACTCCTGGCCTCAAGTGATCCTTCCACCTCAGCCTCCCAAAGTCCTAGGATTATAGGTGTGAGATAGCACACCAGGCCCTTGTTCTAATTCTTGACATGTCACTTACTGTTTCCCTGTTATATCCTCAGTACTTAGTCCAGTGCCTGACTCACCGGAAGCACTCAATAACTGGATGAATGAAAGGAACAGGTAAATAGCTATTGAATGTATGGCATTGGGAGTATGGATAGAATGTGACATAGGAGACTCTGAGCTCATGGCTGAGCTAGTTTGATGGAAAGGCCTTCACTTAGGTGTGTGTACAGATGTGTCAAGGACATACTGGAGAAAGGTTCATGAGAACCTAGACATGAGGGAAAAGCCTGGAGCTGCCGCCCAGATATCTCATTTTGGCCAACAGGTAGATGTGGCCCAGGTGCTAGCGGTGCACCTGGGGCAGAGCAGGTGTGGGGCTGGGGGCTGCTATGGTCTGTGGGCTCACCTGAGACTGAGGTTCCTAAGCTGCATGCAGTGGAGAACTGTATCAACTGGCTATTGATACAGACCAGAGACTCAAGAATCCCTAGGACATATACCCCAAACTAGAGTCCAAGGATACGAAAGTCCCCTTACTAGGTGCCTGCCAGCCCAGAAAACTCTCTGGGGAAAGCAGAGTTCAAGCACGTCCCAAGCAGGTTAGGGATGAGGCCAATACAGGCCAATCAAGAGACAGCCAATAGCGAGGAAATCCAGCCAGGCATTAGCAGAAGGAAGGACCCACCAAAGCCTCCCCCATCCCAGCTCTGAAAAAGACTGGGGGACTTGGGGCAGAGGCAAGGGCAGTCAGCTGGCCCCTCAGAGCTCTGAACATCCACCATAGTTACCATCATGGAGCCAATGTCTGTGCAAGATCCACCAGGCAGCCACCAGCCCCTCAGGCAACTCAGCCCCATGTTGGAGCCCCCCTTAGCCAGTGGCAGCTCTGGGTACCTGAAGTGAACTAGGTGGCACAGCCAGAGGCCCCTTCAGGAGACCCAGGGCACTGCAAGCAAGACATTGTTCCCAGGGAAACCCCAATCCTGCCAGAAAGCAACTAGTGAGCAAAGATGCCCAGGAGGGTTTAAAGCTGGACTAGACATGGTTTGAGAAGGGAGGTGTGATATCCCCAGCTGCACTTCTACCCTCAAGTACGGATCCAGGAAAAAAAGGAAGGCACAGAGCTTTGGGGAGGGCTACCTTTGCTCTGGCTCCTCTAAGCCTGGAAAGATTGCAGACACACCTCCCCTCTCTGCACCCATGGAAATTAATCCCACCGTGCCCTAAGCCTCTGCTCTGGTACAGCCTGGGGCCCAAAGCAGTCCTGGATACTCCCTCCCAGGCCAGGGCCCAGCACAGGTAAGTTAGTACTGCTTACCCTGACTCCAATTCATGAGGTAGTCCAGGAACATCCTACATGTGAGGTCATTTGAATCCCTGAAAGTTTAAGGAACTTGCCCCAGAGAAGCTCCAGTTTTAACACCAAAGCCTACTCAAAGCCTAGGCAAGTCACTTTCTGTGGCCTTTATTTCCTGAGCTGCAAATGAAGATAATTCTAGTGCTATCTACCTAATCAACAGGCTGCAAGAATTCACACAACTTCACATGCGAAATGCCCTACTGGTGGCCTTCACAGGCTGTCACATATAGAAGTCTTTCCTGACCCTTAGCACTTGCTGCCCTGGGCCTTGGCCACCCACGCCCAAGTGGGGCCTGGTGAGACTGCTGCCCTGGGCCGCTCCCTAAGCTGGCCAGATCCGTCTCCGAGCACTCCCTCACCCGGGCCCCGGCTTTCTCCTCCCTCAGCCGGCCTCCTCACCCTCCCCTGGCCTATTCGTTCTCCCTTTCTCTCTCTCATCTCAACTCCTCCTTCTTGGGCCTGGCCTACTCTCTCAGGTCGGCACCGGCTCCCTTCCTTCCTGGGCCGGCCCCCTACCCCCGGCCCGGCCCCTCTCCCTCGCTCCGCTCCCGCCGCGCGTCTCGGAAGCCCGCACCTCACCTTCTGCCTCGCGCAGGCCACAACCGCACAGTGGGTCTGCTCCACTCAGCCGGGCAGTCAACCCGCACTGCTCCAGGCGCCGCGGGGCGGGCCCCGTACCTGGCCCTCGCCATGGCAACGCTACACTTCCGACCCGCGCAGCCCGGGGCCGGAAGCCGCAGTGCCTTGTGGGAGGCCGGGGTGAGGGGGCCGAGCTGCCGGGGGCGGGGCCTGAGGAGCGCTCGCAGAGGGCGGGGCCTACCGAGGACTACTGGTGGAGGGTTAGCGGCCCTGCCGTGTGATCCCCTCCGTGGCAGGGACTTCCTCGGGACCTGGGTGGGACGGGAAGGGCAAGTAGCCATCTGTTCATGCTGGACAGAACAGACATCATGGGTGGGCGGAGGGAACAGCACGTACAAAGGCAGAAGGACCTGGGACTAGCGCACGGGCCGAACGGGCAGCAGCTCAGGTGATGGTTTGGGGAACCGGGGAGAGTGTGGTCAGAGATGAGTAGCGAGGACGCCAGACCAAGGAACCGGACTTTATCCTGGAAGTAAGGAAGGACCAGTGGAGAGGGGGTGCCTTAAGACTTGTGGGAGAGAACCATGTCTTTGCTGACTGAATGGGGCTAAGAGGTCATAGATATTAGCCTGGTGAGACACAAAAACCCCTCAACTAGAGTTCTGGGAACGGAAAGGAGAAGAGGGTCCTAAAGAATGTTGAGGTGACAGGAGTTCAAAGGAGGCCAGGTGAGGTCGAAGGGAGAGTCTGAGGTGGTGGGAGGAGCACAACCTTGCCAGGTACCCCACATACACCATCCGCCCCAGGCTTCCTCCTCCAGTGTACTCATTGCTCCCTCCCCTCCGCACTTCAAGGTGTGCTGGACACCTACTGTATGCTGCAGATTTTCAACCCTTTAAAAGGGAATACTGCACAGGAAAAGCAAAATCCTGATTGAAGTGCATAAAGTGTACCCTTGTGCTCCTGGCGGCCTAGGATACCAGCACCAACCACCACTGCTAGTGCCTTGGACCTGCTATACTCTTGGGCAAACTTGCCCAGTGGGAGGGAGGAAAACCTAGGCTTTGGGGCAAGGTACAGAGCACAGGCCTTGACTGACTTGAGGGGCATAGCTGTAGATCAGAAGGCCAGGGAGGAGTGGGGTTGCCTGGGCTCCTGAAGCACACTTCTGGGAAAACCACTTGGGTCAACTGCATCCCTCTTTTATTTCTGGGGTGGGGACTTTGTGGTCTTTTCCTCCAGGATGCCCCACCTGATCAGGTGCTGGGTGGTGTCCAGCCACTATAGCCCAGGTCTTACTAGCTGCTCAGTCTTGAACTTCAGGGGATCCCCCTCAACTCCTTGGCACCTTGGCATGGGCAAATTACTTCCCTATCTGTTAAATGGGATCCTGAAACCTGGCCAAGACAAACCAGATAAAGTAACAATGGGTCGTGGGCTCTTCAAAGGGGTGCCCAGACACCCAAAGGCAGCTCAGGAGTGGGGACTGAGGACTCAGGAGGTCAACCAAAGCCCCCATTGGAATCCTCCTTGCCCCTCCCTTCCAGATTAACCGAAACCTGCTAATTGTGGCAGCCCTCAGCATGCTCCCCTCCCCCACGACCTCTTCCTCCCTTCCCTCCCCTCCCCCTCCCCCTTTCATCCGAATGATAAAGGGTCTGGCCCGCCAGCTCAGAGCTGGCCTCAGGCCCTGGCCCTGCCTCCACTCTACCACACTGCCCCACTGCCCCGAGCCCTCAACCAGGCTAGGCCCCTGCCCACGCAGTCTACCTTCCCTGCATGGGGCCCTACAGCGATTCCTGCCTGGAGCCCCTGGAGGCAGAGTCGCCCTCCCAGCCCCCCAAGAGGAGGAAGAAGAGATACCTGCGGCATGACAAGCCCCCCTACACCTACTTGGCCATGATTGCCTTGGTGATTCAGGCCTCACCCTCCCGCAGGCTGAAGCTGGCCCAGGTGAGAGGGTCCCCGCTTTCCCTCACACTCCGTGGCCCAACTTTTCCCCAGACCCATTCCCCACCTACTTTCAGGCTCAGGCTCTGGCCTCCACCTCCACCTCCACCTGGCCCCACCCAGCTATGCTCGTGGGACCAGTGCTGAGAGCTTAGGGGCTCAGGCGCTACCCTTCTCCCCCTGTAAGTGTTCTTCTGTAAGGGGGGGCGGGCGGGCCCATGCCAGTGCGCCCCTGAGCCCGGCTGTGGGGGAGGGGTGGCTCCCCGCGCGGGCTCACAGCGCCGGTCGGCTGCCTGGTGGTTTCAGATCATCCGTCAGGTCCAGGCCGTGTTCCCCTTCTTCAGGGACGACTACAAGGGCTGGAAAGACTCCATCCGCCACAACCTCTCCTCCAACCGATGCTTCCGCAAGGTGGGGCAGGGCGAGGGTCGGAGGCCGGGGGACGGAGCGGGTGCGCAGGTCCTGAGCATCCGGGGGTCGGGTGGCCCCACTCAAGTCTGCCCCCACCCCAGGTGCCCAAGGACCCTGCGAAGCCCCAGGCCAAGGGCAACTTCTGGGCGGTCGACTTGAGCCTGATCCCGGCAGAGGCGCTGCGGCTGCAGAACACGGCCCTGTGCAGGCGCTGGCAGAACCGGGGAGCGTGTGGAGCCTTCGCCAAGGACCTGGGCCCCTACGTGCTTCATGGCCGGCCCTACCGGCCGCCCAGTCCGCCACCACCGTCCAGCGAGGGCTTCAGCATCAAGTCCCTCCTAGGGGACCCTGGGGAGGGGGCATCCCCCTGGCCCAGGCTAGCGCCACAGAGCAGCCCAACTCTGGCAGGCACAGGGAATAGTGGGGAGGAGATGGTGCCTACTCCACCCTTGCCCTCCTCTGAAAGGCCTCTGTGGCCCCTCTGCCCCCTCTCTGGGCCCACAAGAGCAGAGAGGGAGACTTCCCAGGGGGGAGCCATTGGGCCCACAATCCTCTCCCCAGAGCCCAGAGCTTGGCCCCTCCATTTAATGCAAGATACCCCAGGCCCCAGAGGGCTATCCAGTGGGGGACACAGGGCCCCCATTTGGGGGCAGCTGCCCACCTCCTACTTGCCCATCTATGCCCCCAATGTGGTCGTGCCCTTGGCACCACCGCCTAGCTCCTGTCCCGGGTGTCCACCTTCCACCAGCCCAGCCTACTGGGGACGGTGCCCTGAAACCCAACGGCCCTCGAGGTTGCTCTGGGATCTTGATGCCTTTTTCCAGGGGGTGCCCCCCAACAAAAGTATCTATGATGTGTGGGTCAGCCACCCTTGGGACCTGGCTACCCCTGCCCCAAGCTGGCTACTCTCTTGGCACAGCCTGTAAGGCTCCTGCAGCAGGGCCACTGCTCCCTCCCACCCCACCAGCTTGCTGATGGGAACCAAGGCCACAAGGGTGTCTGCAGCCACAGCAGCTTCAAGACACGGGCACCAGCCTTGCTGGGCGTCCACGACGTTTATTGGACTACTCCACAAGTGGTGTGGCCCAGCAGGGCATAACTCTGCCCTGCCAGGCATGCCTCTGCCTCCCCACACAAGGCAAGGCTAGAGAAGCAAGGCTCAGCCTGGAACAGCCTTTTCTGGCCCCACCTTCTCAGGCCATTGCCCATCCATCCCTCCCCATCTGTTACCTCCCCTCCCTGGCTCCAGGCTGGGGGAGGGAAAGCCTAACCGGGGGTCCAGCCTGAAGTCCTGCCCTCTCAACTGTCTGGGAAGGAGGTAGCACCTTTTTGGGGAAAGCGGTTAGGAATAAAGACATGGTCTTGGGGGGGGGGAAGATAACAGTAAAGGAATTTATGACATTTTAATGCCATGCCTCCTGATTCTGAGGTCAGAGGTGGTGACTTGGGTAACCACTTGGCTGGGATCTGGCCCCCTTGGCTCTGGGATTCCCTGCTGTGTGCTGTGATAACAGCAAATGGTGATAAGGAGCAAGCTGAGAACCCTGTAGCCTTATTGGGAGCGGGTGATAATTTCTCCAGGCATAACACTGGCTGGCGAGGTGGAGGAGCAACTCTGGGAGTTTGGGGGCAGTGGGCCCCTAGAAGTCAAGGACGTTGTGCCCTGGGATACGGGGTATAGGGACTTTTCTACTGCCTCTGCCAGCAGAGGTGTGTCCTCAATCCCCTTGGGCAGGGCTAAGACCCAGGACTACCGGGGCAAACCCTCTGGGGGCACAAGGGCCGAGCCGGAGCCACTGTCCTGACTGGGGCTTGGAGGGCTGCCGGGAGATGGCGTAGGGGTGCAAGGGGTCCCAGTGAGCGGGGTGTCCGTACTGAGGGAGGAGGGCGTCCCGGAGGAGCGCGGGACCCTGCGGCGCCGGGCTGGCCCCAGCTCCACTTGGCCCACTCGCTCGGCGAACTTGAGTGAGCAGACAGTCTCCCCAAGATCCTCTGGCCGCGTAGAGATCTGCGGGGGGCGGGGGGGGGTAGGGCGGTGCTGGTGGGTGGGCCCCGACCGGGCGGCGCCTGGCATGCAAACGACCCTCCCGCAGCCCGCGCCTGACGGGCGCCCACCTGCAGCAACAGCACCGCAGTGGTGCCGGGGCCGAGCGCCGGCTGCAGCAGGCGTGTGAGCTGCGAGTCGCGGAAAGGTACGTGCGGCCTGTGGGCCCTCAGTGCAGCCATCACGCCTCCTAACGCCAGCAGCGAGCGGTTGATAGTCTGGGCCTCCCGCAGACGCCGGGCACCGTCTGGGTCTCCCCGGGGCGCGCTGGCCGCCCCTGCCTTCCGTGCGCGCTCGGATCCCGCCAGGTCCACCAGGTGCAGCGTCCCTAGAGGGGTGAGTGAGCCCGCCGTGAAAAGAGGCAGGCCTTCGAGTGCGCTGGGGACCCCGCGGGGCTCAGGCACTTGCCGTGGTACCTGTGCTGTCCGGAGCGCATGGTGGAGACGCTGCACGCAGCGTCAGCGTGACCAGGGCATGCGAGCGGGAGCTGTGCTGGTTCATGGCGGTGGCAGCAGTGGCCCGGTTGCTCCTCCCCACTCTCAACATCTGGAGGATAGAGCAACAGGCCTGGTCTGGTGTAGGATCGTCACCCCCAGGTGGAAGTATAGGGCGTCGCGGCCTTGGATGGCTGGGCCATCCACTAGGCAGCCTTACCTGATGCAATGTTTCCAAGTTGGGTATGTCCCAGTGGGTAAGGCCAGCCACCTGGATACCCCCCTGGCCTTCTAGGCCCTGCCTCACAGCCAGGCGCTCAGGAGGCCCTGGGGCCAGAAGGTCTCTAGTAAGAAAAAGGGAGGGCTTGATTTGGGGTTGGGGGGAAACAGCCCTGAGACAGGGGCAGGTAGGAGGCCTGGAGACATGATCCTGACCTGACAGCCTCGTTGTAGATCTCCACCATGCTGAGGGTCACACAGTGCTGCCCCCTGGCTCCCATCTCTCGGAACAGTGACTGAAGTGCCCTAGGAGCTATGCCAGGGTCCTCAGGTGGCCCCTGAGGATGGCATGGAGTGCCACATTGGGCTCACATCCAACCCCTGGCCCCAGAAGCCACCCAGAACCCTTAGGGCCTCTCCCCCCAGGGTGTGGGCTCCACCCACCTCCATGCTGTAGGTCTTCCCCGTCCCTGTCTGACCATAAGTGAAGATGCAGACACTGTAGCCATGGAGGCAGGACAGCACAGCTGGCTCCAGCTCCCTGAAGACCTAGGGGCAGGGGAGCAGAAATGTCTTGAGCTCCACCCATGTTCCCGATTTAGGATTTATTTGGTGGGGTTGGGAATTCAGTGAACAGAGCTTAATTCCCCTAGGAGGATGACTCTAAGGGCCCACAGGGGAAGTGTGGATCCTCAAACAGGGACCCTGTGTCTCCCCAGAGAAGGTGCTTCCAAGAATTTGCCAGGCAAAGAAAGGAAGAAACATGACAAGAAGAGGGAACAGCCTGTGCAGAGGATCTGGAGTCCTGAAGACCACTTAGGAGGCCCTGGGGAGCTTAGTCAAGAGCCCAGATGCTGGGGCTTGACTGCCCAGTTCCTTCCTGTGCCTAGGTTTCCCCTCGGTGAGGTAAGGGCTACAGTAGCACCTACCGTGTACCTACAGTGCCAGAGCAGTACTTGACACACAAAGGCTGAGCCCAGGAAGAGCCTGGTGGCTATGGGGTATGGTGGCCAACAAGGACGGCTAGAGCCCAGGCACTCAGAGAGTGCAGAGAGGCAGCCGGGGGGGAGTTGGGGCTAGAATGTTCATCATGTTGATCACTGAACACCAACAGCAACCTTCTGAGGAATGACATGGCTAGCTTTCATGCCCAGAGAAGGTTGCTGGTAACCAGGTGGGCAGTCAACTCAGCTGTCAGTTGACAGCTGACAGCCATGACGACAGAATCCAGAATTCTGGGTTCTATGGGATCACTAAGATTCCACGAAGGAGGCACTGGGGGTGACATTCAGTGGGCAGACTGTGGCACCATTGCAGAAATGGGGAACACTCATGAAGGGCTTAGTGACAGATGCCTTTGGTTTAGACACATTGAATTGGAAGACCTTGCCCAAGAGGGCTGCCCAGAGGACAGTAGATGGGGTTGGGGGGAGTGCTGTGCAGGGTTGCAGTTAGGGTGGGGGCTAAGGCCAAGGGGATGTGTAGATAGAAAAGTAGGTGGAAAAGGAGGTGGGGTGATCTGTGGCCACATGCCAGGCAATCATCACCCCAACCCTTTGAGACTGGCAGGCAGCCCATCTGAGTTGAGGCCACTTTGTCCCTTACCTACTCCCCCCTGGCTCTCAGCCTCCATGTCCTCAGCTATGGGAGCTCTAGTAGCAAAGTTTGTGTACAGATGAAGATGGTGTATGAGAAGCAAGTTGGGGGTGGGCTGGGGCTGAAGCTCCCACTTTTCCACTGGTGTCTGGCAGGAAAAGAGGGGGTTGGGGAGGAGAGTGGGACCTCAGCAGGGCAGCAAGAGACCACCAAGGCTAAAAGTTCCCTGCTCCCCCACCCACCTGCCTTGGGGGCCACAAAGCAAGGAAGGGTCCCTGCTCTCACAGTTGGGCACACTCCAGACCCCGAGGAAGGGGAATGGGCAGCTGGTAGAGCTAGGGAGGTGGGGGCACCAAGCCATTGCCTGTGGGGTCAGGGCACTGTCCACCACTGCAGCACCCCAGCCACACCATGCTGTCAGTTGTACATGAGTAGTAACTGTCACCTGGAACACGTTAATTTTCATTAGCTTCCTGGTAAAAAATTGTTTTTGAAGATGTTAACCTTCCTGTCTAAACTAAGTCTGTTTCCTTGGGGCCTGCAGAGCTTGGTGGGGGGGCTGGAGAGGGCAAACCCTGGAAGGGAAGAAGGCACGCAGCTGGTTTGCCAGTCCTGCCTTCCCTTCCCGGCTAAAGCCCAGCTACCCTCCCCCCTCCAGGTGGGCAGACAGACAGGGAAGGGGAAACTGGTCCTCTTCTGCTCTTCAGAGGACTCTGAGAAAGGGTGAGGACAGGTGCAAAGGCAGGCTGTCACCTCCTCCTGGCTGGCATCTGGAGGGAAGACCCAGTCCAGGCGGAAGCGACGATGGCGTCCTCGATAGTGGGTGGTGACAGTGCCCCCTGGGCCGGGCTCCACGCTCACCAGGCTGGACGGTGTCCCTGGCCTCAGGCGACATAGCACACGGATATTTCCTGCAGTGGAGAGCAGGTAGCAGTTGGCACAATGCCTCCCAGATGTACAGAGAAGTACAGAGAGGCTCCACTTCCTCCACCCTGCCCTCCCCACCCCCTCCACTCCCCAGGTTGGCCATACCCTTGAGCTCTGGCAGCCGCCCAGGGCATCCGGCTGAGGGCCCCTCCTGCCCTGTAGGGAGCTGAGTGCCAGCCCCTCCTGCTGACAGTGCCCCCAGGGCCCAGGATACCTGAGGGAACAGCGGTATGAGGAAGACAGCAAAGTAGGAAGGAGGAGCTACAAGTGGAGTGGGGTGCTGAGAGCAATAGGGTGCATCTCGTAACCACCCAATGATGATTCACAACTTTCAGTGGGCTTGAGCTCCTAGAGGCATCATTTAGTGGGCCTGGGATAAAACGCAGGGATCACAGGCAAGGACATCGTATCATCTATCTCCTCTGTGCTTCCTGGCAACTCTCTGAAGGATTTACTGTCAACCAAGCTTCCACAGGACAGAAACAAGGCCCAGAAGTGAGATCACACTCAAGATCATACAGAAGCTATTCTCGTTCCAGAGCCTATGACTGGTTTATTAGTACAAACAATTCCCCTGGGCTGGGAAGGGACAAATGTTAGGGCTTCCCCTTGGGAAAACAGTAAGTAGGCTGCCCAGAGAGGAGGGGATAGGTAGGGAGGAGTTCCTGACCTGGCCCCGGGCCTCACTCAGCGAACCCTGACAGCTCTGGGTGAAGGTGCTGACCAGT